CTCCATAAAAGTGATTCATGTGAAATGATACTTTTGCCTGCAAATTTTCGTGCCATATTTGCACTTGTCTGCAGTTCTTGTTTTTATAATGGTGGAAGTTTCTCCATATACACGGGTGTTCATAAAATTCAATTTTCATCGGTCTCCACAGAAATTAATCGTTTTGATTGCTATATGATTAATAATATTGTATGTTGTAACTTTAAAATGCCTGTAAAGAAGAAACATTTCTAATTAATTCTGATTGTATATATTAGTTTTTTTCTACGTGATGATAATTTATATTTGAATAAAGACCAGTAGAACGCTAGGATGTCTACTTGTATTTAATAATCAACGGTCACAAGAGTACATGCCGATATATGGATAATATACACATCTCGAAATACACATTAATACGTCTGTTAAATTATGTGAATATAAAGAAAAATCAACATTTCACAGGGTATATAAAACGTACAAGTTTCTGGTAACAAAATATAATGTAGAAGATAGATATAGATATGGAATTAACACTGTATAATGATTGTTGGTTTCACGCCTCAGTGAGAACCTTGATTTGAAGATGTCATCGAAGCATTTTTACCAAGGAGTGCTGATTCTTTTAAAACACTGGCTATATGTATGCATGGATTATCTCCAATAGTGATACCTATTTCCCTATAGATATAGCAAATTTTAAGTTATATATATATATATATATATATATATATATATATAAACCTTATGCAACTGGAATTTATAAACAGGGATCATAACATTCATCTACAGGTTCTGGGTTAATGTCATTTAATAAATTTGTTTGCGGAGATGTATTTTCGCCATTTATATTATTAACTTCAATATCTGTTTTTTGTATGAATGATTGATGTAATATATATATATATATATATATTAAAAAAGGAGAGAAAGCGCAAACGCTTTTGATTATAATGTGAATTTGTTTTAGTGTATATATATTATATTTTATTCTTTTGATTTTTGCAAACCGACCCAGACCCGGGCGCTGCGATGAACTTCGAGCCCATCGTTAAATAAGCACACACATGGAGAGATTCGTATGGTCCAATAACGAACGAGATTTCGGCCTGCTACCTAGTAATTATAACTTTTTCCATATATATATATATATATATATATATATATATATATATATATATATATATTAAAGACATTTTTATATTTAACATTCTTTTATAGATACATATATTTTAGTAAATGCTCTGTTTATAATAAACAGTATTAAATAACATTTACCGCCCTGAATGTCCGAGAAATTTTCATGGAAAATATTCGTCCTTGAAAATTTATCGGACATTCAGACAGGTAAATGTTATTTAATACCGTTTATTATAAACAGAGCATTTACTAAAATACTTGTATCTATAAAAAGAATGTTAAACATAAAAATGTCTTTAAAATAATTGTCGGACTTTGTCCATTTCATAATGTACACACACACACACACACACACACACACACATATATATATATATATATATATATATATATAAAGAAATATAGTCTTAAGGTGTGCTATATTTATGGGATAAAGTGCTCAATATCAGAGATAGAGCGTGTGTAAATATAAAAGTGAAAATAGAAGTCAACACTTAGAGGCGACAGTCTGTTTCATGCTATATGCAATCCTCAGGCCACATATGCTGTTATTTTTCTCGGCTATTTATATATATACGGGTCAGTGGTGCATTGTGGGTATTCTATTATGGCGTACAGAAAACGAATACAGATATGTTATCTTTTATTTCACGCCTCCTACATTTGTTTATACAATGCAACAAATAACATAGGCATGACTCAGCATCGGTACATCGTGCCTTCATACACCTTTAATGGGAAAACATCAGTTGGCCATTGAAACTCCTCTAGCAGAGATTATTGAGCAGGACCTAAATCGTGTAGATGGACATTATCCTCGTGGAACATTATATCTTATTTTCATTACAGGAATAGCAGTAGTATCAGTTAAGAGTTTTTGGCGTACAAATATTATCTTCACAAACACCAAAGATAAACGAGAGTTGCAACTTACAAAATCCTACACCATAATACCAAATGTCGGTTCTGAGTTTTGAAGACTAATATCCCACGCCAGATATCACTTACAAAGACTATGCTGTCTGATGACAGAACATGTTGTCATCATTGAACACTGCAATGTCTCTTGCGGAAATCTTTCAAAGGCACGGGAAACGTGCAAGATTGTGTTGTCTTGTAAGTAGAAGGGTTGCTAGCGACATGCATGCTCGTAATACTGCTGCAACATGCTGAAACATGTTCACACACAGACACATATATATATCCTCTCAAATTAATGCAACGGTGCCGTAGAGCTCGATATTTCTACCTACTTTGTTAGACATCTTAATCAACTGCCTTCACGATGTTATCAGTTACCAACTTGAAATTTACGCTGATAACACAATCGTTTACTGCTGTCTTAATATTTAGTCCGATCGGTTCGATAATGTAAATCTGTCAGCTGATCAAGAAAATCGCCTCCAATCAGTTGTTAACATGAACTAGACATCACGGCTAGTAAATGTTAAGGACTTCAAAACGAAACTTTTCGTTGTCTTAAAGAACCAATATTGTCTGAAATCAGCATGACTGATGCTAACCTTCAGGACAGCAACTTATTGCGCCTTCTTACTCTCACGTTTTTCACTGACATAATTTGGTGTGATTAAATTGAATCAATCACTAGGTCACTGCTAGGTCAGTTAGTTCACTGTGTCGTGCTATAGAATTTTTCACTGCTAAATCCATCTTGCACGTTTATAAATGTACCATTCGTTCGTGCATTGAATATTGTTTCCATATCTGGTCCTAGTATATATCTCAAGATTCTCAACAAAATTAAAATAAGAGTCTGACCTGGCATCTCGACTACAGTCACTTTCCCACCACTTTGACGAGGCTTCCTTGCGTCTTTTCAGTATTTCTTATTTGACAGGCCCGAGAACTACTCATGGTAGAGGGTTACGTTAAGAAGTAGTTTATATGGATAGGAGGAGGAGATAACGTTTATCTCTTGAACACTTTATAGTAATTGGGGAAACAAGGTCTTGGGTGTCGGTTTCCCAAAGCAGTTTCGAGTGAAATTGACTACTCACCGATAGAATACAGAAGGACTGAGAGAGTTTGGCTACAATATAAGTGTCATTACGAATCCTGGCCTGGAATGTTAGACAAGGCGGAACCAAAGTATGCAGTTCGTCCGAACATATTCCATCGTAGTAGTGGTAGAGCAATGAGAGACTCACCACATGCGAGAGAAAATTTCGAAGGTAGAAAATAATTGGTAAATTTTCATTTTAACACCCGAGCGTCATTTACTGCTGAACTATTTTCTTTCAGAAAATAAGTACGCGTTTCCGTAAAGCAATTTTTTTGTACTTAATTTAAGAATAAACTTAACTTTCAAATATATGTAAACATCGACAAATAAAAGAATAACAAAAGAAAAAAGACACCTAACCCTAATTTGAAAGTTAACTTCCTTCTTAAAAAAAAAAAAAGAATAACGAAAAAAAACCACCTAACCCTAATTTGAAAGTTAACTACAAGGAATTACTGTGAAGGGAGTAAATAGGCCCAAATTGTATACAACAGAATTCAGCACTTAATTACTTAGAAGTTCGATGTTTTTCTGGTCGTTAACATCCAAAAAGATAGGTTTCTTCAATATCTAATTGTTGATTTGAGTTCAGTATATACATTTGCACAGAAATAAGACTATTTTGGAAAGATTTGAAGGGATAATAGGGCTCGTGCGTTGAAATGAAAATTTACCAAATAATTCGAAACCCACAAGATCTCAGAGACGCTTTGAACTCTGTTTAGACTGGAAAGTCAGGACTTGGAAGTTCGAGTCCAAATATGACAAGGGTACTCCATTTTCGACTTATTTTGGCTCTTGTAAAGGTAGAGGATAGCATGAGATGTTAGGTACTCACAGGAGCGGTACAAGAGGACAGCCATGATTCCTGCACTGTTGGCGATGGTTCGTATATATATCTTCACGGCAATTATTCTCAAGATTTTGCCTCCTTGGAACTTTACTCTAACGAATTTAAAAGCGTAATACTTGATTGGCAAATTTGTCTCATCGTTTTACTCCTGAAATAACTAGATGCAACCGTATATTCTATTTTAATAGTTTCTTTTTCCAAAACTCTCGCCTGTGGAACTACCTTCAGGCTTACTACTTTCCTTTTACTAACTATCTTCAAAAAAGTTAATGTAACGTCAATCTCAACGTTAGTAATCAAGAATCTTTTATACCTTCTATCAGCATGGCTAATGCTAACCTTCAGGTGAGCCTAACTTTGCGCCCTCTTAGGCTCAGGTTTTCCACCAACATGAAATGAAGTAATTATACTAAATCAGTTGCTATGTCTACTGCTAGGGAAATTGGTTCACTGTGTCGCACAAGACTATCTTTCTAGTCAGAATCTATCTTGAAAATTTATAATAATAATAATAATGCTTTGATAAAAGTACACATTGGACGAAACGTGTGAGCAATTATTAGTTTTCCTATTGTTATTTTTTTATTAATATTAATATATATATATATATATATATATATATATATATATATATATATATATATATATGTGTGTATCTAACCTGAAATATAAGTTAAAGCTATACAAAAGAAGACGAAGTGAGGTATTAAGTTTTTGTTTTTTTTTATCTTCACCTAATAAAAATATATTCTTAGCAATATATTCCTCTTTGTTTCATAATTACTTTTCCTCTGCGTACATTTTTTTTCTCCATTTTCACCCCTTGTATTCTCTTTTAAAATCTTCTAACGTCTCGTCGCCAGTCATTGTCTAATTTGCTCGAAGTGATTCCATCTTTTCTCTAAGTCTGCCTGACTCTCAGACACAATAATTCTACGTTCAGTAACGATCGAATTCAATAGCAATGATCTTCAAGGTTCGCGTTATTTTCTGTCCTCTATTTAGATGAACATATTTCTTAATCCACCTCTTTCTCAACGACTGTCGCATGGGTACCTCTTCCTTTCTAACTGTAAGCAATTCCTATTATCTGTTCAATGATTGATTGTTCTATTACCAGGTCTTTTCTGCTTTCCCAACCTTTCCGACCGATCCTATTATGACCAAAGCGGCTACTCCTATAATCAGTACATGTGCAGAACAAATCAGATGCCCACCCAGTCGCGATCAGGGTCAACTCATCACATACGCAAAATGAAGATAAAGATATAGACGCTGTAATAAAAAGAATAAAAAAAGATTCACCCATTCATTCTCTTTTTCTATTCTTCTAATCTACGCAGAGCAATTTAACCGAACAACTTTTGAAAATCAGACCAACGTTCGTTTCTTGTTGTTTTTGCTACTTTATCTTTTTAAACCAAGTTCGACTTTATATACATTTGTGTCTACGATATAGAATGGATACTTGATCCCACTGCCAGAATGAAATGGTCAGATCTACATTCATATTGAACCTTGTTTTGTTGAACCTCAATGCTACCCTTTCAGGCTGTGAAAAATAGACAATCTGAATAAAGTAAATTGTTTTTTCAGAATTCCTCCTATGATTGCCTCTATAATAAAATATCGTAATGGCCAATTATATCGCCGACCAAAACTAAGTATCATTTTTTCTGCTATTCTCGAGTCTATTAATGATCGAGAAGAGAAAATTCATCATACAAAAGCAAGTGTTCCGAAAAATAGGAATCAAGTTAAACCTTTCCAAGACAGAAACTATCTAGAAATTTTATTGATGGCACCTATCCTGAATCCATCATAAAAATCCAAAATTGGGAAATAGTCGGTGTATGGATCTCTTATAACAAATTTATTATAAGAGCTAAAAAGAATTGAACACAGAATAGACTTGGCTTGTGATAGTTTCGCTCAGCATGCCAAGTTGCTATAAAAACCAAAATCTTAATCGAAAAACTTGAGTCATGTTAAATAGATCGCTACTTTCATGTGAATGATACGCATTGTCCTTACCATAATGATCCCAAACAATACCATTACCATTTGAACAATGATCAAATTAAATTTGATTTGGGTCATAACAGCCACAGCCGAAAAAAAGATATCCAACATCCTTATCCTTTTTTCAAGCAAGCTTAGAAAAAGAGCTTTTATTTCATTTCTTTAACAGCTCCTAATCATTATCATAAAAGTTATAGATGAAAATTTATCGATCAGTTGGCAAAGCTTGATATGTTATAACGTTATAACATGATTGGTGGCAACAGATGGGAGATTTACTAATTTCTCTTGCATCAGTATAGGACACACAAATAATTTCACATCCAGCCTGCTTATTCGTATAATTTCTAATATATAATATTCTAACATCAAAACAAAATGACTTGATCAGACATGTACTCAGAAACCAAAAACAAAAAAAAAACTTAGGCATATTTAAGAAGTTTTGTCATCATTCTTCGTCGGGGTTATATTGTCAAATAAAGAAAACGGTAAATTCCAATCACATATTCACTAAGAGAATCCATCTAAAAATAGCCAAAATATTGAATAACCTCAATTTTGAGTGATTGGCAAGGCCACGATTTCAATCTTATCTCTTGATACTTTCTATTAAGAAGTTATCTGAAGAAAATAATTCTGTTTCTTTTCTTGAGGATCACTCTCTGAATGCATGTCAATTCCAGTTCCTGTTTTCAAAAGATGTATCTACAATGGCTTATCAAATCTTACTCACCCTGTAGACCTCTAGTTCTAAAAGAGGGGACGTTTTCTTCCTTTCAGTTAGAAGAGGTTATTTCACAAAGGTATTTAAGGCTTTTAAGGCCGAAGACTTTACATATCGTTCAGAAAGAAAGAAATCTGATATTTTAAAAATATAAATATGAAAATATATAATATTTTTCATTATGCTGTTGCCAATATTCAAGAAAAGGATTACAAATGAAATTCCCGATCCAATGAAAAATCAAGAAATAAACTCCAGAAATGACAGGGATTAAATAAAACTCTAAATCTATGAAAAAAAATACAAGTAAGCCAAATAAGAGTGACTCAATGAGAAATGTACAGATATTAAAAACCTGTAAAATACAGTTGAAGCTGGTAGGTAAAAATGACAATGATATAACAGGACAGAAGAAAAACTACTCAGTAGGATGTATAAAATCTAAAATGGCTTCGAAAGATTGAATGAGTAAATCAGAGAATTAGTCCATGACAACAGAGAGAAACTTTCAATACTGAATTGCGTAGCTGGTCAAAAAAAGTCCACATTGACTAAAAGAAAAAGAAAAAGACAGCAGATCAAGATAATGTTTTCTCAGAGATGCTGCCAACGTTAGATGAGTTGGAGTCTACAAGGTTATTAAAATGATAAACAAAATATGACAACGGTGAAATACCGGTGGGTCTAAATATATCAATATAAGGCTACCAAAAGAGACCAGATGCGAATAAATACAAACTTATTGATACAAACAGC